CCCTTGGCTGCCATGGTGAGAAGAACAGTGCTGCAATGTTAAGCCATGGATACAGGAATGGAATTGCCTTGAGACAGGGAACATTGAAGCCTCTGCCCGGGGCATCTGTGGGCAAAAGAATAACTGTACTAGAAAGACCTTGATGTGGATGAGTGATCTGGATGGATGAGCCTGGATAGGAACTGGAGTTAGGACACATTTGTCTTAATTCAAGGGATTGTGTTATATGGCTGCAACTTTTTTTTCTTTTTGGGGCCACTTAGTCTTTTCGGGAGATGCCCTGCTCATATGTGCATTGTATTAATAAATGTTCAGGTGAAACATGCCGTAAGCTGTAAAAATTAACAGGAGTATGTTTGAAATTCTTCATGGAATCACATGATGATAAAAATATGATAGGGCAAAGAATACACAACGCAGAGATCTAGTGTCTTCTAACAAATTTAGCTGTTTTATACAAGCTCCAAGAATTCTTCTTCTTCTTTAAAGTTAAGTTAGTTCTAGATTCTTTGGTTGTCACCATAATAGTGTATTTGTTTACATTGTGGAAGTTGTCTTGTTGAGTCATCAGAGACAAAATGCCAGCACCAAGAGAAGTGCAAATTTTCCTCATTCATCTTAATGGGCTGTTAACTTGTGAGACTAATTAGGATCATTGAGGTGTTAACACAGTTAACCTCTTTATTGCTGGTCACCACACCTAAAACATTGCACTAATATGGTCATCTTCTATGGTGGAACCCACCTGTCACCTCTTGACACTTACTTCATTTGAAACTCTAGGACTGCAACTAACCTTTGTCGATCAGACTCCCTTCCCTTTACCGTACGTGGGGAGTTTATGAACTTCCTAATGCCCTTTTTGGATGGGCTGCGGTGTCTTGAGCTAAAACGGTGGGACTCCGGTGCATTTTTGAGATAACTAGATCCTGGAGCCCCACAGAAAGCTCAGTTAATACCTATGCAAAAGTACACAACAAGTAACCCTACTGCAAATCTCTGCAGAAAGTCAACAGACTTCGTATAGTTCTTTTCAGATTGTCCACTGCATCCAGCAGTCTCTCCCTGGCAGTGTCCAGCAGCTGCTGCTTCAAAGAAAGGTGGAAGAACCTCAATCAGAAGGAAGTAAAAAATTAATCTTGTCCACAGGTAACAATTCCTCCTCACACCCATCAGTGTTTGCTTAAGTGGAAGCACGAAGCTTTATACCCCAGCCACCTCAAGAAACTTGCAAAGCTTGACCATGTCTTAGAGAGGCTCTAATACGTGGATCACCAGTGTATGTGATATATTTATGGCAAGCTTCCCTTTTCAGTCCTCTAGTCAACCCGTGGCAAAAAGGGGGATGGGGGTGGGAGGAAA